CCTATATTAAATAAAAAATACAACACTCATAATATTCTAACTACAGTTCTGACAAATGGCTTTGAAATTCTTAATCAATAACAGCAGCATTCCAGGTTATTTTATTTCATATATTTTATCCAAGTTTGTTAAATGCAAGAACATTAAAAGTTAATTTCTCTGACAGACATTTCAAAAGTTCTTTAAAAATTGAAATTGCAGTAACTTAAGAAAAACTTTAGATGATGGGTAGCTTTAACAACAAAATTCAAGAGGTTAAAACAAGTAGCAAAAATCCAGGCTTTTAATAGCAGAAAAGTCAAAGCCTAAGACAAATAACATTCCTCAAGTATCCCTAATGAATTAAATATAAAGAATAAAATACATTATTCACCCTCTAATTTCCAAATAGTACCTCCAGATTTTATACTTGCTAGTTTCTGAATGCATTATTTTAAAAGAAAAATATTAAAACAGTTATATTTACCATAGATAAATCTAAATATGATCATAATTTTATCCAACATTTTCTCAAGTTCTTCATCTGTAGCTTCTTTGTTTCCTGCACGAAGCTTTGAATCTACATACTTAGCTAAAATGAAGGAGGAAGAGTTTGTTGTTTAATGGCCATGGGGATCTATAAAGTATCGGGTACTATACATACACAAAAAGGCATATGATACACCAAGTTTTAGAGTGTTTCTGAGATGCATTTTTAAAAGGTCTCCCATGTCAGAGAGATTGAGTAACCTGTTAAATGTCACAGAGCTATTAAACACTAGAACCTGAACTCAAACCCAAGTCATCTGATTCCAGATTGAGTGTATTTCCCACTATAATGATGTTTATTAAAATGAGATATGAATACCCTGGAGGAGGCTGCATAAAACCATGTGTGGGGTAACTGAAATTACCAAAAAAAAAAAAAAAACCCAAAAACCAAAAAAACAAAAAACTTAGAACATCTTTGCGAGTTTCCATTTTGCACTGATAAGCAATCTTAAAACTTACTTGCTATTACAATAAACCAAATACACTACAAAGAAGGAAAAATTTGTAACAATGAACAAAAATAGACTTCAGCAAATTCCATCCTTTTGGCAGAGGACCCTAGACCTTCTTAGGGTATTACTCCTCCTCTGACATTAATAGGTACATGAATGGGATGACCTGAGAAGCACTGCAGTATATACCAGACATGTACAAAAAATGGGCCCAGATTATTAGGTTTATTTTCATTCTAGACTTTTACCTTTTTCACTGGCAACTAATTTCAGGTATACCTTTCCTGCAGCCCTAACTTTGGACCTCTAGAAATAGCACCCTGCCCCATTTCTAAAACACTATAAGCATGGAAAACAGATAATCAAGCTTGTTATCAATAAAAAGAAATGGGGTCCAAAGTTTTGTCTTACAAATAGGCTTTAAGACATTACTTAGCTTGAAGGACTCTATTTCCTTACATCCAGGTACTTAGATAACACTTTTTAGACTTGGTATTATCAGCTAAGCAATCACAAATAAATGAGGTGTTGGTATAATACAACCTTGTCAAAATTTCAGATTGAGAGTTCATGAATACAAAAGAACATCAAATAATTGGGAAAAGGATTGGAAACATACCTATAAGTTCAGCAGGTTTATTTGGTCTTTTGTTAATGAATGTTTCAAAAGCTTCTTTCATAGCATTGATAAATTTTTCATTCTTCAGAAAACAGATATCAATTATATGGTCAACCTTATCTTTAAAATCTAGCAATTCTTGAACCATAGTTTTATCTTTTTCAGGATTAATAACAATAGTGCTCCCAAATGCCTTGATATATTCAATCCATTGTTGCAAGAGCACCTGAACGCCACCTCGAACTCTGCTAAAGAGTTGATACAGGAGAGATAAATCTTGAATTCGG